AAGTCTTGACCATTTATGGTTGAAATTGCAAAAATTAACATATACATTCTTGTAAAGCAAGCTTTTTCATAATGTCAACCCTTTTTTAGCCTCTCAATGGCTCCTTCTGCACACATTCAACCTAGAAACTCAGAAGAAGCGTGTTTAAAGTGATTCAATCACTCTACATAGCTTGTACCATACATTGGGATTTTGGTTTTCCACTTTGCTTCAAAAATAAGCAAAAATGCCATAACATGTGATATTGGTAATCTGACCATCTCAAGTCTCCAAACCTTTTCCTATATATCAAGACACTCTTATGCAACTGAGGACACGAATTTACAAGCCCTTAAGCCCTCTCATATACTCTCAAACCCGAATTGACCAAAAATCACCGTTTTTAAGCTTTTGAAACCTTAGCTTTGAAACTCATCACTCTTGCAACTATTGTCCAAACAAATCATCCAAACACTTCATATATATCATATAAAAACTATCCATACCCCTGTTTCCTCATTGTAACATCATTTTCATCATCCACCATTTTCATAATCCACCATTGTAACTTGACTTGAGTAGACCAATCCAGACACTTTCAAGGCAAAGTAAAAGTTGCAACATACTCACTAAGGTCCCGGGAAGCTAAAGCAATCATCATATTGCTTCTGGAAGTCGTGTCGAGGCCATTGAATTTTTGCATCAAGAGGCAAGTTTTTCTAACTTTGAAATCTTGATACAAGCATCATTTGCACTTACTTTCAAAAGATAAAATGTAGATATCATGTCTATGAAGCTAACCATATTCTTAAATTTCATTTTAATTGACTGTGGGATGAGAATTTTGAAACTGGATTTTTTGGATATTTAGGTTTTCAGTTTGGTACAAGTAGAAATTCGTGAGTTATAATGGGAATAAATAAAAACTAATTACATATTTGAAATCCTTGCGAAACTCTAAGCAAGTTTCATTTTTAAATTTGGTTGAGAAATGAGGAAGTTAGAGTTTTTTTGAAAAAAATGGAAAATATATGTAATTACAGTAACTGTTAGCATGCAGGAGGAAGAAGAAGGAGAGCTTGGCCATTTTAAATTTTTTACATCTAAGTTCATTTTATATTTAATGATTGTTGTTTCACTAATGGATTTAACAGCCACCCCAATGGCAAGCAATACGTGTTTCATGTCACTTCTTATCCTAAGGGCGCGAGTTCGAACCATAGTGAACTCCCCTTTTGTGTTATTTTTGTGATTTTTGTGATTTCAGGAAGCAGTCTTCTCATATAATATTACACAAGCGCATGTTTAATAAGGTAACATACCTGGCTTAGTGGTATTCTTTTGAGTCAGCAACCTGAATGTCTTGAGTTCAAGCCTAGGCAGGACTAAAATCTTATTTTTATCACTCATTTTATATTTTTAACAAACTTCAACAATTTATTTAACCCATCAAATTAACTCCTTTTGAATTAATTTTTTGTACACTACTAGTTTATTAGGTCCATTTTATGAATATATAAAAATCTCACCAAAAATATTTTTATTTTCATTATTCATGATTTATTCAAAGAAGCATCTTTTAGGGTTTTTTTTTCTTTATTAAAAAACAGAAAGAAAAAACATTTTTCTTAACAAATTTCTTTTCTTGATTAAATTAATTTTTAACTTAATTTTTGCTTTGACTTTCTTTTCTAATTAAATCAATTTAGAATTTAGGGATTTTAATTAATTAAATTCTTTTCTTTTATTAGTTTAATTAAATCAAGACTTTTCATAAACATAAACAATTTTCTTTTCTTGCACATTTTATCTTACAATATTCAATATGGTTGTAATAGTATAATTAGAACTTTATTGCTTTCATCCTCCATTTGTAAATTTGTATACCCCATCCCCAAATGATTGTAATAGCGTAGAATATTTACTTTCCGCAATTTATTACTTTCATATAAATGCTAGTAATTATGATTTGTATGGGAAGATAAAAATAAACAAGTAGATAATCCTAATCAAAGATTAAATACATGCAAATCAAACACACTATTCACACATGCACCCCTTAGGGTGATTCCACTTGTTGCCTAAAAAATGGTCATGTTACGCATGTGGGATGTCATAGCAAAAACAATCAAAATACAAGATCATAGTCCCTCGATGACGCTTCAAATGTTGTCTTACAAATGATCTTAGTCCCTCAAGAGAAATGCTAAGACATCTCACAACATTGCTATCATGACTATACGATGACCCACGCCCGTCCCTTTTACATCTAAAGATAAGGCTTCTTACTAAACAATAGTGAGATAACAATATCAAAGGAAGGAAGAAATGAACAAAGACTTTTGAGTAGGTAGAAACATTCTTAGTTGCTTGCTCACTTTCAAAATAAAAAACACACCAAATATTTTCAAAAACAAACATCTTTTCAAATACACCAACACTTTCTATGAAATATTTTCAAAAGTCTAACACTTTGTATACGTTCTTACAAAATGAGAGCCATTACAAAGTTTGCCTAAACGAAAACGCCTTTTCAAAAATACTTTCAAAAACCACCACAAAGCATATTTTCAAACAAAAGCAAGTGATCTAGCAAGCAACTAAGAGCCCATGATAACTATGGATGAAAATGGTGCTAACACCTTCCCTTTTTATAATCTACCCCCCGAACTCAAAAAATAATCTTAAAGGTCTTTCATGTTCTTTTCAGTCTTTCCTTATTGGATAAAAGAAAAGTCGGTGGCGACTCTTGCTAACCGCAACAATTGCGATCAAACGCAAAACATCCCAAGCCAATTCTCCCACCGTATTACATGTGCATTTTGGCTAAGGGAGCATGCCGATCGGTGTGCATGTTTAATGTGAGGCACTTTCATTTTTGTTTTTAGTGTGCCTTACATTCTCTCTTTTGTGATGAGGGGCATGAGTTTCATGACGATAGGCATGGCACTTGCTTTTGGTAGAAACACTTAGTTCAATTAAATTGCTTTAGTATTCTATAATTAGTTTAAGTGAATTAAGTCCCATTAACAGTCTAATATTTAGGATTAGTATAATTAGTAATTTTCAATTTAACTTGACCACTTGGTCCACATAAATATGGTTAGTATATATATATATATATATATATATATATATATTAGGATTTTAAGTAATAAAGTTATTTAATAGTAGTACTAGTGATGATTTAGCAGAGACAATTGTTAGTTACAGAGGTAATATTAAATAATTTAGCAGAGTAGTATATTTTTAATAGATGCAATAATTTAGCAGAGAATTATCGGTAGAAGTAATTAGTAGAATAATTGGCAGAAGATCAATGTAGTAATTAATAGTAATTTATCAAGTGGATAACAGGTAGTGTATGTTGGTAATAAGTAGTATTTTTAATAATAGAGAGTAATGGTACTAGTTTGGCAGTGAGATATTAGTAACAAGTAGTGCCTATACTAGCAGTAATTGTATAGACTCAAGAAGAGTAGTGCATAGTAGAAAATGTTGGTAATTTAGCGAAAGATTAATTAGCAGGATTTTGGTCGATTTGTCCGAATAATTATACGAAACAATTGTTGTGGTTAATTATGAAGTTGCAGGTGGTGAAATTTTGTTGCATTGCCTCTAACTATTGGCAAGAATCAAGTTGTAGGCTTGTTGCCAAAGTTGAATTGTTATGGGTATGTTGTTGTTAATAATTGTTGCTGTTGTTGTTATGTTGTCTCTATTTATTGGTAATATAAAGTTGTAGGCCTATGGCCAATGTTGATTTATGTTGAGATGTTGTGTTGTTGTGATTGTCTCTGTGAATTCTTGTTGATAATGCGAAGTTGCAAAGAATTTTAAATGATGATGAATTATCTCTATTTACTGGTAATAATGGTTATGCGGGCTTATGCCTTGCGATGGATGATGATTGTTGTGAGTATGTGATGGTGCATTCATTTAGTCACATACATTTGCATACTTTGTGATGGCCTGGATTGGCAAACTCTACACATACATTTCAAATATTTTAAATAATAAATACAAAACAAAATATCAAAACATTGACCACATATTTAATATTTAAAATTATCAAAAATAAATAATAATATACATAATGAAATAAATGAGGCAGGTTCGGGATGAGTACTAGTGTCCTAAATACCTGACCCACTCTCATATTTTGTAATCGAGGAAAATCCAAATCCAATTAAAACGGATTTTCTTCATCAACTTTAGAGCGGGTTCAGATGAGTATCCGCATATATAAATTTTGTTGCCATGCCTACCTTCAATTTTTGAACTGGTGCAAACTACTACCAATATCGATAACAATCCCTAAGTCTTCTGACAACTTTTGTCGAAAAAAGATCTTCAAATCTTTCAATTGCCCTTGTCAATAATCACTTTATTTTTTACTATTTGTAATATTGATGTCGAAAACATGCTCAAACTACTTGTCTTTAACCTATTTTTGCATCTCACATCTTCGCTCTCGTCGAATTTGATGTTAACAAGTAGTCATCAAATCACCCTATTCACCTATAAGTAATTCAAAACGAATAAAAACAATTAACATTTTTTCCATAGATTTAAAAAAAATCATGACTAATATTTAAGATTCTAACACAATGGAAGAAAACATTTTTTCCATAGATTTAAAAAAAAACATGACTAATATTTAAGATTCTAACACAATGGAAGAAGATATTCACTCCGATTATTGTTATAATTTATACATAAATTTGACTTTTATAATTTATTGAATAATTTTTATGAAATTTTATTTTTATTTTTTAGATATATTAAATTAAATGATTAATGTATCTAAATAATATATAGACCATATTCATTCTTCATTAGATAATTTTTTTTAATTTCATAAATAGAATCAAAGGATCTAAGTCCTAAACAACTAGACATGCAAAACGCACCGTTTTTGTCGGTCTTCCATAGTTTCCAACTACACAGCGAGAAACGGTACCCTAAAACTCAGCCACACTACTGAAGCGAAACAGTCATCGCAGAAGTTGATTTCAAAGATGAAGGTCGTCGCACTAGTTAGCGGCGGCAAAGACAGTTGCTACGCCATGATGAAGTCTATTCACTACGGCCACGAGGTTTTTTATCTTCAGCTTTTTTCTTCCTCAAGTTCATAATCGGTTATCGAAACTCACACCCATTTGATTTTGCAATAGATTGTTGCGTTGGCGAATTTGATGCCTGTTGATGATTCCGTCGACGAGCTCGATAGCTACATGTTCCAAACGGTATGACTCTTTTTTACAAAGCTTCTTGTTTGGAAATTACAATGTGCTGCTCAATGTTTTTCACAGGTTGGGCATCAAATTATCATCAATTATGCCGAATGTATGGGATTGCCGTTGTTTAGGAGGCGAATACAAGGGTCCTCAAGGTAAGCCTTTCAATCAGTGGCATATATATATATATGGTTTTATTTTCTAAGTGATATTTTTACTGATAGGCATCTAGAGCTTGGTTATAAAACAACTCAAGGTGATGAAGTTGAAGATATGTATATTTTATTACGTGAAGTGAAAAGGCAGATACCCTCAATTACTGCTGTGTGTTCTGGAGCCATTGCATCTGACTATCAGAGACTGCGGGTGGAAAGTGTATGTTCAAGGTTAGGCCTTGTTTCTCTTGCATACTTATGGAAACAAGATCAGTCCTTGCTCCTCAATGAAATGGTAAATCGCGTTTTGGGCTATTTGCGATTTAATATGTATGCTATTGTTTATGTGGATTTTTATATTTCCTCCATTCAGATAATTCTAACTCCATTTTGGTCCTGACCAGATTGCAAATGGAATAGTAGCTATAACTGTGAAGGTATAACTCGTTTGACTTTGCTTTTATTGATTTTATTTTCTTTGTTTCTTTTATGAACGGACGGGATGAATTCCTATGTTCCTATCATCCATGTACAGAGAACTTACCGTTGCTTTGATCATATTGAGCTCCTCAACTGATATCAATGGACCACATTTAAAGGTTTCACGATATGCTAATGCTTCCATGTAATCTTAAAAATAGGGTTGCTTTGAATATATGATTGGTGAGTATGAGAGACCTGTAGCCAAAGTATGAGAGACTTAATTAAACAAGTGAAACCATTTCCTTCTACTCAGGAATTCAACTTGTTATTTTTTTTTGTAATTTTATGTGCTTAGAAAATTTTTATTTTGGAATTTAATTCCGTGTCTGTTTTACAAGGTAGCTGCCATGGGTTTGGATCCTGCGAAGCACTTGGGTAAAGAATTAGCCATGTTAAATGCTTATTTGCATAAATTGAAAGAGTATGTCAAATATGTTCAACCTTCCTTTTTCTGTGTAAATATGTATAAATTACTTTAAGTACTATCTAACACTATTCCATGGTGTTTTTCTTTTTCCGTTTCACCCTATACATCCGCGTAACTCTTGGTTGCAGGGCGTATGGAATCAATGTTTGTGGTGAAGGAGGCGAGTATGAAACATTGACCCTAGATTGCCCGCTCTTTAGTGTAAGTTCATACCACCATTGGTGTGGTTAATTGAGAGTTGTTTTTGGGTCTATCGTTTCTTTTATTCAGTATGTACCTTGGTTGGTCCACTTCACATCCTAAATTTGCAATTGACATATGATCCTTAGTTCTCCATAAAGTTGGGCTCAATTTACACTGATCCATTTCTAATATCTGCTTTGAAGTAAATTTATTACTAGTTATGCTTCAAAGTTATAATGTTTTTCTTCCATTTTCTTTTTTATCTATACGTTCCTTAATTTTTCCAGAATGCTCGCATTGTGCTTGACAAATATCAAATTGTGATGCACTCTTCAGACTCCATAGCTCCCGTGGGAGTCCTTCATCCTTTGGCATTTCATTTGGAAAATAAGGTAGACACTCAGTCTTTAAAAACAGTAGACAAAATACATGAGAGTTGTACGCAGACAGTAGGACCCGTGTTCGAAGTGCATGACAGTCTAGAAAGATTGGAAGCCACATGTAAGCCTCTTGATTGCACTGATCAAATCAATGGTGTAGAACACAAATTTAAGATTTCAAGAACAAATAACCAGAGCATGTTCTCCATAGGTTGCTGGTTACAAGATTCATGCAATGGTAATAATTATTCTTATATTTTAAATGATTCAATCTTGTCTTAGTCTTGGTCTTCCACATTATTTGTCCTTCGAGACATCTTGATCTTTTTTCTTTGTAGCAGGTTTGCGGGAAGATTTAACAATTGTTTTGAGAAAAATTGAATCACAACTAGAAGGCTTTGGTTTTGGCTGGGAGAATGTTCTCTATATTCATCTTTACATTGATGACATGGATAAGTTCTCTGAGGCAAATGAGACATATGTGAAGTTTATTACACATGAGAAGTGTCCATTTGGCGTCCCATCCCGTAGTACAGTTGAAATGCCTCTAGTCGAAATGGATTTTAGTAGAGCATATATGGAAGTTTTGGTATCAAATAATAAAGATAAAAAGGTTTTACATGTACAAAGTATTTCCTGTTGGGCACCTAGTTGCATTGGGCCATACAGCCAGGTAAACCCCATTGTTACCGGTAGTCAATTATTTATCAACAGAAAAGGAAGATTTCATATATTATCTATATCTTGCTTTATTATATTATTATTGTGAAAATTGATTTGAAAAACACCGAACAGTGTCACATCAGTTTCAATTAATATAATAATCATTTGACAAAACTTAAAATCATTGGAAATAGTTTAATTGAATTAATTTTTTACTTAATTCTTTCAACTTTGTTTCTTCATCCTTAAATATGTTAGGATATTGTAACACGGGAGTTGGGCTGATTTTGGGGCATTCTTATTAAAAGAGGAAAACATGAACAGAAAAAATATAATTGAACTATGAAAGTTCAGTAAGTTGATGGTTTGCTTACATCTTACTGTTGTTCACAAATCTAATATATGATACAGTTATCCAATTTCAAATGCCATCTGTTGACTCTTCTTTGTTCTTTAAAATGCTTTTTTTTTTTTTAACTTGCAGGCAACCTTACATGAGGGTGTACTTCTCATGGCTGGTCAACTCGGGCTTGACCCTCCTACAATGAATCTTTGCAGTGGAGGCCCTGGGGTTGAACATGAACAGGCTCTAAAAAACAGCGAAGCAATAGCAAAATCTTTTAATTGTTCAATATCGACGTCTGCAATTGGTTTTGTTATTTACTGTTCTAAAAAAGTTTCTTCATTGGATAGACTCGATATCGAGAAGAAACAAGAAACAATCCTAAGACAAATGAAGATATCTGATTTACAGGAAGGCAAGAAGTTCAAAGCATTAGAACCCATAACCCTCTATGTCCTTGTTCCTGATCTACCTAAAAGGTATTGTAGTTTCATCGATCTAATTTCTTAACTAAGCATCTTGTTTGACTGACAAACATCAACACTTTCATTGATCTGCAATTTATCAAGAAGGCCTATTTATATAGATTTAAAAAATTATAATTTGCTATCTTATAATTTATTTATATCGCATTTCTTTTGCTATCTGTTTATCTTAGGTCTCAGTATTTTTAGATTGTGAACCTTTATGGATTCAGTGCTCTTTAAATAACTACAGGTTAAGCTTTTCAGAAGTGGAAAGTAAAAAAATACAAAAGAAAAATGGCCACCTAGTTGGTTCCTGTGATTTGAGTCATTATCAAACCTATGTATTCTGGAGTCCTTTTTTGTATTCCATTTTTATTTATTCCTTGTTTTTTTTTAATCATGGCTGCTAACATTTGTTTTGGATTCTACGCTTGATTGTTTTCTAGAGCATTTGTAGAAGTGAAGCCTATTCTTTATGTCGAGGATGGTGCAGATGCAGCAATTGAGACCATAACAGAAAAAACTCGTTCAAAGACATCATGTTATTGGGGTTTCAAGCAAGAAAATTGGCACGACTCTTGCATTCAGAAATGTGTGATTCCTGGGAGGATATGTGCCATTATATTATCTATCACAAGTGAGCTTGCTGCAAAGATATGTTCTGATTCCCTGCCTGCTGATTATGTCAATGATAATGGTCAACATTCTCTTCCTAAAGCACATATGGAGCAGTTATCAAAGTTCTGCATTTATCTTCTTGACAAAGCTATAAAAGATAACAACTTTGCCTGGGAAGATATAATGGTCAGTCAGTATACTTATCTAAATATCACATCCCAAATTAATTTTATTCCTCCATTGTTTCGATCATATATTAGTTGTGTCCAGTACCAACCCATTTCCTGTTTTGAAAATGATTTTTCATCAATATCCTTCTTTTTGGTTTGCATTTTCTTCCCCAATCATTTAGGGGAGAGGGAAATAATTTAGATCCGGATAATTTATGTTTTGTATGGCATCAATCTTTCTCTGACAATCTAACATTCTGAATTCTCTTATGTCATGCAGAGTTTGAGGTTCTACATCCCGGTAAGCCTTCAAATGTCAGTCGAGCTAATACAACCTATGTTCAGCAATGCACTTTTTGAACTCTCTGAAATGAATCAAAGGAAAGTTAAAAGTTATGAGGAGCCGATCTTCAACATAGTTCCCGTCATAGGTGCTGGGCGGTCTGCTTCATCCATGGACAATGTAGTGACCTGTGAATTACTAGCTCATAAATCCTGAGATATTATCACCTTGATGCACAAGGTTTTTCTTTTCTTTTTTCAAAATTTGGATGAACCTTATTTTATAAATTAAAAAAATCAAATAGAATTCACCAGGATAGATCGGTGTCAGTGATTAGTTAGGATGGAATGTAATTTTACTCATTAAGCCATTTAGGTTCTATTCAGACTTGGTGGTGCTTGAACAAAACTTTGGCAGAAGAGATTATACAGAGATCTTCCCCAAGGTTTGATAAAATTTCAGAGCTGCCCTTTTAATTTTAAGAATTACATAGAATCTTCAATATTTCAGATAAGTGGTAACTTTATCAAATTTCAGAGATACATATAATTTGTTAAAAATGTAATCTATAGAAGTAGGTGTACTATAGACCCAAACTGTTGGTTTGTTTTTGGTTAATCTTATAATGAGATGTATTTCATCCACTTTTGTCATTGCACTTCGTATACAATTGATTTCTATTTCAGTTGTAGTGTAGAAAACACTGTCTTTAGAAATCTTAAATAAAACAATGCCTGGTTTATTTAGCTCTTGGGTTTGAATTACATACCTAAACTTGCATTTTGTTAAATGTTACAAACCCTAAAATCCGTTTTAGGTCAATTTAGGTTAATTTACCAACTATCTAACTATTAAAATTAACTACCACCAAACTATCGATACTACTCTTCACTTTAAAAATTTTACACTTACAAAAGATTAAAATGATAAAATCATAATCTCTCAAATAATTCACTCAACTTCAATCAAATGCTACCAAATATCTAAGTTTTTATTTGACATTTTTTCGACTTTCATTTTTTCTCCACCTCTCATTCTTTCATTTACCATCTGATCCTTTTTTCAAATTTAATTTATTTTTCTTTTATATTTCTTTCTCTTTTCATTTAATTATTTTATTGTTTTTATCTAATCATTTTATTTTTTTCTAATTATTTTTAACATGTTAAAATATATAATTATAATATATGATTACCATATTAAATATTTATTGGTGTAATTATAAATACCTAATAATTTCTTATTTTTAAATGTGAAAATTTCTTTTTTCTTACTGATCACTATTAGAAAAATATTTATTTTATTTTAATTAATAATTTTTTTTATTTGAGATATAAAATTTTTATTTTTAAATATTAAAAATTTTCTTTTTCTCAAAGAACACTATCAATAAAATACTTATTTTATTTTAATTAAATTTTATTTTTATTTGATATACAAAATTCTTATTTTTAAATATCAAAATTTCTCTTTTTTTCTTACAGGAAACTATAAGCAAAATACTTCTTTTATTTTAATTAAAAATATTTTTATTTAAGACACATAATTCTTATTTTATTAACAAAAATATCTATTTTATTTTAATTAATAATTATTTTTATTTGAAACACAAATATCAATTTTTTTCTTTATCTATTATATATATATATATATATATATATATATATATATATATATATATATATATATATATATATATATATATATATATATATATATATATATATATATATATATATATATATATATATATATATATATATATATATATATATATATATATATATATATATATATATATATATATATATATATATATATATATATATATATATATATATATATATATATATATATATATATATATATATATATATATATATATATATATATATATATACACACACACGTGCGAACATACAACTGTTTTGTTAATTTTTAAATATAATGCAAATACGCTTAACTAAGTATGAAGGGAATTTAGTTAAATCATGTTATTGTGTATATGTCATACTCTTTTCTAGTGTGAAACTTGCTTTTTGGTTTTTTAATAGATACTGTATTGTTTTAGATCCACCACAAAGAAAAGTGTTATCGGATATCTATGGCCCTTCCATCTTTTGGCTTTATAAAAGAACATCAATATCTAGTCTTTAATTTAGCTGCTGCTTTCTCCATCTCAAAATCAGTTTAGAAGCATGCATCTAAAAAAAAAGGAAAGTATGTTTTTTTTAACATTTGAAGTGCTGCATTGTAACTTTTGCTGGGACAAGCACATAACTGGATCTAACCGGGCATAAAATATAAATATTTCATCCTGTTGCAAATGCAACCTAAGTGGAAAGCAAAGGAGCTTCCTTTAATTCCATTCAGCATCACACAGCACCAACTACCCAATAATCAAAGATCTGAATTCAACTTTCAACTTGTGAATAAATTCCTAGGAAAATACTAACTATCTTCTCATTTGAAAGCAAAAGGAAAATAAAGAGAAAATGGTAGATGGTGTAAATGGGTTTGCTAATATTCCCACCTTTTATGTTTAATTATTAAGTTATTATAAATTAGATTGTGGTTAACTTTGTTGTTTGATTTCGTCGCTTTATGTAACATGTCATATCACAAAATAGAAGTGGCCTATGAAAGTTGAATGAAACCATACTATTTTAGTTTCGAAAGTAATATTTCACCTAAATGCTTTTGTTTTTTTTGTTGAATAAATTGATAGCCACTTGGCATGTGTTTCTTTGTGTTTTGTCACACTTCAAACACCGACAAAAAAAATTAATCAATTTTTGTTCTTTCCTTTTGTTTGTTTTCTTTTTGGTACCTTACATGAAATACTAGCAAGTATAATAATGGACAAAAAACATATAGGAATTATATTCTTATGAGTAAACCCTTTTATTCCTAATAAGATTAGGATTGATAATTAAATAAAATAATGGGAGAAAATTCCAACTTAAACTTCTATAACATGTTAAAAACCATCTATTTCTTAAGGATATAGCCAACTCATTAAAAGTGTTAGTTGGTTAATTCTTTTTTATGTAGTTATTTAGATTTTTAAGATGTATTTGGGTCTGAACATTTTTGTCTATATAAATGGTCATTCTGTTTGTAGAAACAAGCAGCAACAATAATACAAATCAGTTAGATAGTTAGTTATTCTCTCTCTTCTTCTTCTTCTTCTTCTTCTTCTTCTTCTTCTTCTTCTTCTTCTTCTTCTTCTTTTCACAAAATCATCTTTCTTGAATCCTTTGTTCCAACAAATTGGTATCAAAGCTTGTTTGCGATTCAGAGAGAATCTAATGGTAAATGATCAACAACATCAACACAGTTTCCAGCAAATCTAACGATTTTCAAAGGTGAAAACTATCAACGATGAGTGGTTATTTTCAGATTTTAAGATGTTGTAGAAATCTTGAATGATGAAATATCATAACTGGATGTAGATGATACGGAAGCTCGGATTGCGCACAAAGATCAGAGGAAGAAAGATGACAAGACGTTGTTCTTGATTCACCAGTGTGTGGATTGTCACATATTCGAGAAGATAATTGAAGAAGAAACAACAAAAGGAGCTTGGGAAAAGTTGAAATCTTTGTATGGTGGAGATGAGAAACTGAAGAAGGTGAAGTTTCAGACTTTGAGGAAGCAGTATGAGATGCTTCAGATGAAAGAGGATGAATCTATTTCTGCATATTTCTCAAGAGTGGTGACGCTAACAAACCAGATGAAGGCATATGGTGAAGCGCTAACAGATATGCAAAAGATAGAAAAGGTATTGAGATCCTTAATTGCAGATTTTGATTACTTTGTTGTAACAATTGAAGAGGCTAAGAATCTGGCTGGTGATGAGAAGTCAAGCAAGAATACTGATTCGAAAGGTGTGGGCAACAAGTATTTTGGGAAGAAAGTTGACACAAAAGAGGTGCAATGTTACAATTGTCAAGGTTTTGGCCAATATGCTGGAGACTGTCGAAGAAAGAAAGCTGCAAGGTCAAAAGACAGTGATGAAGCTCAATATGCACGAGCTGGAGATAGTGATTCTGATGATGTGTTGTTGCTGGTGAACGCTCAGTCGAATACTGAGAAAAACAACATGTGGTATCTGGATTCAAGATGTAGCAACCACATGGCTGACAATAAAAACTGATTTACTAAATTAGATGAGTCAGTCGAAAAGGTGATAAATTTTGCAGATGCAAGGCATATTAAATCAGGTGGTAAAGGAGATATTTCAATTATCAGAAAGGATGGTCGAAAGACTACTATCACTGAAGTTCTATATGTACCTTCGATGACAAGTAACTTGATAAGTGTAGGTCAATTACTTGCAAAATGCTTCAATATGAAGTTGGAGAATAATCAGATGAAGGTATATAAGGCTGATGGGAGGCTAATTATGAAAGCACCATTGGCGGAGAACAAAATGTTCAGGGTTGAACTCAACATATCAGATCACAAATGTCTTGCTTCGACTACAAAAAAAAACAAGAACTGGCTATGGCATCACATGTATGGACATCTAAACTTCAAGAGTTTATGTATGCTTAATAAGAAAAGAATGGTGCTTGGGTTTCCGCATGTGAAGGAAACAAAGCAGATATGTGAGGAATGCTGCAAAGCTAAACAGGCAAGGAAGGCGTTCAAACGTGATTTTTCTATAAGATCAAGGCAAAAAATGGAGCTGGTTCATTCAGATGTGTGTGGACCCTTTGAAGTAAAGTCCAATGGAGGTAACATGTATTTTCTTACTTTCATTGATGAATTCACCAGACATATGTGAATTTACCTTATTGAGAGGAAGAGTGAGGTATTCACATAGTTCAAGAAGTTCAAGTTGCATGCTGAGAAACAAAGTGGCTGCAAATTGAAGAAGTTAAGAACTGATGGTGGTGGTGAATATACTTCTGCTGAATTTTCTAGATTTTGCAATGAGGAAGGTATGGAGCATGAGGTTATTTCACCCTATACACCTCAGTATAATGGCATAGCTGAGAGAAAGAATAGAAGTGTACTGAATATGACGAGATGTATGTTGAAAGTTAAGAATATGCCTAAGAGATTTTGGGCTGAAGCAGCTTCGACAACAATATACATTCTAAATAGATGTCCAACAAAGAAGATGGTCGAAAAGACACCGCATGAGGCTTGGACAGGGTCGAAGCCAAATGTAAGTCACCTTAGAATTTTTGGATCAATGTGTTTCA